TGCAATTACTGGACTGACGAATGGGGTCAAAACCAACTACAAACAAACGCGAGTCTTTCTTATCCGTGACACATTGAACCATACCGGAACTCATTTTTGCCTGAGTCGCGGGGATCGGATTAAAACCTACGTGTTTATGATATGAGGCAGTTTGTAATTTGCTTTTCAAGCTATACCGGATGAGTCTTCGATTGATCTACGTTTACTTCCCCGTACGAAGGGCTCCAGTTAAATATACGTCTGATGTCAGAGTTTAGGTTAGACTACGAACGGTGCGGTAAGCGGTCCGTGCTGAACTTGTTAACAGCCATGCCCTTTTCTTCACCAATTCCAATTTGGCCTCCATCCGGCATTCTCAGTAGTAAATTCAAGCGAAAGATCAGCTTACAGTTTTTAATTTATACATTTATGTCGGCATATCTGCCCGGTTGTACTGCTCTCGTCACAACGAGGTTTCACCTTATCGTATTGTGATAACCGTCGTTCGGATCCAACTTCAGTCGGGTATGGTTTGTACAAAGCTCAACGTCACGAGGACAGCTGACTGGATACGGGTTCACCTTCCCTTGACCATAAACTTTTGCCCACTGGATGGCAGTAGAAGTCAGGTATCTCGGGGCCTCCTCCCGCTCAAGCTGGTTATTCCGGAGCCAATATGGTGCTTTCTTGTTTGCCTTCTGTTTATTTATTTTATTGTGCGAATGAGGCTAAGGATCGGTCCCGAACGGAGGACCGATAGCCAATGCATCAGCGAACAAAAACTTGAAGACTTCGGTTATAAATCTATAGAAGCACCTAAGCGGGTTCTTCGGTTGAGTCTCCACGTTGGATCTACGCTTGACCGCCTTTATGGGTAAGACTTCAGTGAAGGACTGATGGGGTTTCCAAAGAAAAATCCACTTGTCCACCGTGACCTGAAGTTAGTGACGTCTGGAAAACTCGCTCATAACTATCGAATGGTACTAATGTTTTCACCTACTTGTATTGAGGTTGGAATATATCCATCGTGGTCTGGGAAACAGGATCGAAAGATCGAGGGTTGAACTTGCAGCTTCCAAATTGCTATGATGATTACCTTGAGGGCTTAAGCAGAGTGAATACCGTTTTTTGTCTGTTGGTGTATTTCCCTCGGAGTTTGACTCGTAAGGTAAGCAAATCACAACCGCTAGTTTGATCAAACTAGTATTTTCTCTACACCTATTTAACCTACATTTCACACTATTCCATCCTCTATCCAAATCCGTCATCCCCTGGTATTATTATTATCATTGTGGCGTTGGCACCATGCTTACTCCCAAACCGGGGATCATATATATATATATATATATATATATATATATATATATATATAACTTTTACATGGAAGTCTCTTAACTCTTTTCGGTAATATTCCGAAATCATCGCCGACACGGGTTTATTCAAGACTACCGCTCGTCCTGGTCCTTGGATGGTCGGGTTTGTATTGTGGCTTGCGCTGTGGTACAGTGCAGAAACCTGGCTTTTGCTAGACGGGGCTGAGCATAAAATGTCAATGTTTGAACATCTCTTCATACGCTGCTTTATAGTATGGAGACCAAACCGGACAATAAATACCGAGCTTTGTTTGTCATGGCCAAGAAATTGCGCAAATGCTTCACTTCCATAGAATGCAATGGTTGGATCGTGGCTATGCGATGTTTATCAAAACAGTTGGTGGGTATACGAAGGCCAATGACAATCAAACTGACTTGGGATGAGGGTATGCAAACCCTGACAAAAGAAATTGATTATATAGATTGCCTTAGGCCACTGACAGACTTTCAAATTAATGGTTAGGGTGGCTACTGTGAATTTTGAAGATAGTTTAAAAAAAGCTTTCCCACACTCATTCTTGACCAGTTTTAACAATTTCCCTTTAAAGCTTTTGTTGGCCCCCAGTCTCATCTGACTTTCTAACTGGAACTCCTCGGTATGTGAAATTTCGCGGTAGTCCGGAATTTTTTTCGCGTTCATGGACTTCGAAACCTTTGTGTGTTTGCGTATGTCACCCATTGTTAATTCATCCTGTTCCGCTCACCTTGTTAAGTGGTTTGTTTCTCCTATTGTTTCCCCCGCATAGCGTCGGATGAATCTGTCGATGTGTTTGGTCCTTTCACAATCGAGGAGTTGCAGCAGTATCGAAGCGGTGAGTCATTCGGTAGATCAGGGCCTTCTTATTGGTCGTTTTCCTCTCTTCTCACTCCGTACTTCAATTGTCTGCATATGGTAATTTATGCTGGTCTTACTTCCTCATACAAGTCGGTTTTGCGGTTACCCTGGCCATTGCCGTTTGTGTGAACTGAACAACTGTCGACCGTTCTACTGTTTACGGGTACAACTAAATCACCACTGCGTTCCGCTTCTCATCTCAGACTGCTATGTACGTGGCCTGTGGGTGCGTCATACTGGTGGTGGTCCAGAAATAAAGTTCTTTTGAGTTTTGGACGTCAGTAGACCGTCTCTCCTGTATCAGTCGTTTTGTATTGGAACCAAGCATGCGATGTATCAATATCAGCGCATTTTTGAAAACAGACGACTGCCATCTTTCATTGAGAAAAGAACTTTCTTCGGTCGTCAGCAACGTTTAACTGTCTTTTCATTCACTGCCGCCCGTTTCGTTCCAGTCATTGTTAGGTTGCCTTGTGTCTTAAAAAGAAATTTCATTGTACTAGAGAACAGAGTGGTACAATGTTGTACATGGATCACTTTGTTTTGGAAACAAACTAGTTGCGTGCATTGCCACTTTGGATCACAATACCTGTCAAAATCCTCATGTGGGTTGTCTGGCTCGGTAACCACTGTTTTATCATAACTCGTGTGCAATTCTCCTCTCGCCCCACCATCATCCACTGATCAGTCACAATTTATTCACTATCTGTTGCCATCAGAGTATTTACATTATTTTCTGCATTTCCTCCGTACTGGATACAATGCGTGATTCCTCGGAACTTGCCTGTGCAATAATCGGAAACGCCTTGCCGAGCTTAGACGAAGGTTATTAATCAATTGCGATTAATGCAAGTACCTGACCTGTGTGGGCGGTCACGGATAGCAAGAGCAAAACACGGATCAGCGTCTTATCTTAGCCTTCCTGATTACGGATCTCTAACCTCAGAACCAGCCTAATCTGTAATGATGTATAAGGAGCATGCTGGCGGTTGAAACACACAAGTTCATTTTGTGAATCAAACGGCGATGTTATTTTGGGCCTCCTCTTTGTGTCGGTCTAATTGTTTCAGCTGACAGTTGGATCTGTAGCTCTTGATCTCAAGTATCTCACTGTCCACCCAGAGTTTGCTATTTGTTAGTCTGCAGCGCAGTGCTTTTGATAAAGTCACAGTCGTTACATCGATCACTTCCTTTCATTTGGCTCTTGACCACTGATTTGATCAACTACACCATCCTTTGCTTCCGTGGCCTTCTCTATAGCATAGCTGAGTGTCGTAAACTTGCGATGGGACCTCTATTGGCTGTCTGGATACGTCCAATTCATCCGCACGGTCCTGTTCTTAGTGATTCCTTGTGTTATCCCTTTTTCAATGACCCATCAAAGGGGTAGTCGAAAGATAGCAAAGAAATCACCTCCGAGAAGTACATGACTAATGGATTGGTTATTGTTTGGCGGTGTTTTTTTATTCTATGGTGTGTGGCTGGTTTCAAGAATACCAACAGCTACACACTGCGCATACTATTGGACACCATGTTATGGTTTTAAGTGGTCTCCTCGCGGTGGACCGCGAGGCACCATTCCCCGAGTCAATTCACAGTGCAATTTTCATAACTGTGCAGTATGCCCATCTCCACCCAAGTCGTATGCTGATGGAATGAAAACTGTTTCGTCGACGGGGCAACCACAAAAGTGAAACGTCCGCCCTGTGCTCTTGTTATTTTTAGTTGTGGTGTTTGTTCACAAAACCGTAAGTGAAGCGCATGCTGGAAGAAGTACGTTGCTCATAAATTCGTTTTCACATTTTGATGTGGTAACACTGTTATCTAGTTTTATACCACATAATCTATATCATACACTTATTTGGAGTCAACGTGTACCGAACAAATCACGATACAAACCGCTAAAACAAAGAAATGAGTCCATGATTTACTCGTGAGCAGAATACAAGCTGGTTGCTCCGGTCAGCGCAGGTGATTTTCTCGGAGTCTGTGGCTTACCAATGTGGACCCACAAAGCGGTATAGGTATGGGTAGAAACGGCAATCCTTTGGAAGCTAATGTCTATATAATCGAGTCATGCGCTTTCTGAGCGGGGTCAAATACCCAATACATCTGGACACTCAATCAAACCGTGAGACAGAGAGGTGTGCTTATAGTTAGGTTCGGCAGTGGGGTTTTTTGTCATTTGTTCTTGGTGAAGTGTCAGTGACCCACTAATCCGTTTACAACCCCGAATGCTGGCTCATTGTCCTCTCACTTTGGTGTGAAACACCGCCGCCTAAAGGCGGTGAGTAGGGCTTCCTCAATGGAAACCGTATAGGAGCATTTCAAAACGTGCAATGGAAAAGGTGAGCGGCCATAACCCATGTCACTCGGCCTCAACCATACTAAGGTTTTCGAAGGTTTGTGCAAAGACTGTTTATGTTATTTTATGTATTTTTCGTTGCTCTTTGGGGAGAAGAGCAATGAAGTGTCGTGGAATTTCCACCTAGGAACGGCTACAACTCAACCTATATTTATCGTTAGAGAGGACATTTTATATCTTCGAAGAACTAAATGCGAAGTGAAAGACACCAACGTGTTGTCTCATGGTCGCCAATGGCTCAGTGACTCAACTCAAGCTCGTACAAAGGGTCACCTGACGCCGACAAATATTCAGGACATAGTTGTATTTTGGACAACGCGAGTTAGAACGAACAAACTACGGCCAGAATGTTGTTGTATGATTGAACGGCACACACACACGGCACAGCATGGCTTATTCAGCGAGGTCGGTGACCTCATTTGAACTGTCGCCTAGCAGTAATTAGGTTGAACTATCGTAACTCTGTGCGTTTAGTGTTACCGATCAAGTCTGACGTTTCTGGTGAGTTTTGTACAGTCTTTTTCCAATGTGTTGTGGTAGCACAAGTGCTGTCAGTTCTGCATAGTCGTTTAATGAATTCTGCGTTACTCCTATCAGCGCATCGGACTGCGTACAATTCGAGAGCAAAATATCCAGCTACCGAGAGTAGAGAATACTTGTTGATCGTCATCAACTTAGTTAGTGCGTTATCTTTCAGTAAAGTATCAATAAATTTTATTGATATACACAGGAGTTCATTTACCTACGGATTCTCCAAATGGCCTTGTCATGTGGGATAGTACCATCCATTCAGTTTATTTGGCTCACCATCTTGCCCACCACGAATTCTAAATCGCCTGTTTCTCACAGACAGAACTTAACAGGTTCATGTTGAGTCCAGCTGAACGGGCTCCATAAAACGTAATCGTAACTAAAAGAATCACATCAGCTTACAGTACAGTCGCCGTTGGCGTGACGTTGCCTTGTCCGGTGACATTGTTTGTCCTGTATCTACTGTGACAATCACGACTCTCCGTTCCACGTTCACCAACCTCTTCCTACTTACAGGTCATTCTGAAACGCATATAAACTCCGCTTGACTCAATCAAGTTACAGACCCTTGTCCGGGTAACACCTGTTGGTGTATACGTTTTTCCATCTCTTACGGTTTCTCATGTTTACCTGTATGTGCATCGTTGAATACTGGCATGAATACTGGCACAGTCTTGGAAATCAGAGTTCAGTTACTTGTTGAAGCACGTTTGTTTTTATGTGATCTAATTGAAAGAGAGGAGGCGAGAGAAAGTTATATTCGACACATGCAGTACCTTCATCTTTGAGTGTTTCTTCTAGTTTGTTGTGTGTTGAGTCAAATAGAGCCTAACTACCCCAATCCGGACGTGTGTGTGTGTGTGTGTGTGTGTGTGTGTGTGTGTGTGTGTGTGTGTGTGACTGTTCACACACACAAAACACGGAGCACGGATTTCATGTTTCAGGTCATTCTCTCTCTTCACCTAACCCCTCACCCTTTCACCACTTCCCGGTTCAGTTAATGTGATAGATTTAATAAATATATATAGACCACGGACACTCAGTCCCCAGCGCGTCATGTCATACTGTACGAGACATGAAAAGCACATTCAGACTGTGAGACGCCATCTGTTGATTACTAAGGCTGGCTGGGG